TCAGATGATATTATAACCGGATAACTAAATGCATAATTTGTTCAGGTAAAGTCGACAAACAAAACTTGTGGCCAGCAAGGCTACGACAATTTGCTTGTTTTCTTTATATTACGATGTTAAAGGTTATAATTTACGTTAAAATCTATCTTATCCCATCATCATTGTGTAGGTCTCACGCGGAGAGCGTGAAAAAGTGACATTCTATTTTTCACAAACTCCCTAATTCAATGGAATTAAAAGTGCGAATGTTTGTTAATCGTCAGACATCGGTGTTATATTGATCTGAGTTTTAAAAAAGAAAAAAATATTTTTTCACATTGTAAATTCAAAACTTTTTGTAGACTGGATGATATGGATTTAAGCACAATTGCTGTAAATTGCAATTTACTAAAATAGGGATAATCTTTGTTAAATTAGGTATGAAATAGTTTTATTTGATGTTAGTTAGTTTTAACTGACAGATTTAAAGGATTTTAACAAATCAAAGGTATATATAACTATTAACTTTTGGAATTTGATTTTCAATTATGAGATTTAAAAAGTGTAATAGATTTTAAAGAGAATTTTTTCACATGTGACCATTTAATCTGTTGTTTTTTTTAAAGGAAATGTAATTAAGGGGAAATATTATATAGTCAGTCATTATGTGTAATATTTAGAAAAAAATTGTTATTAATGTTTAAAAAAAAATCAAGAAATATTTTTTGCATAACTTATTAACAGTTGAATAACTTTGTAAATTTTAAAATTTTGCTTTGTTTTATAATATTCTATGAGTGGTTACCTAGATATTGTTGATAATCATGAGCTGTCGAGGGGTTATAATTAAGGTGTCTGCCCTAATGAACTCATGCCGTTTGGGTTTGAGCCCTGACTGAGACCAGTATTGGTTGATATACATGCAGGCAGCAGGCTCAATAAGCTTCATTCTGACTTCACAAACAAGTTTAAATGATATATAAATAAAAAATGGTTTAAACTGATTTTTAAAAAGCTTGTTTAATTTCAACATGGTAAAAAGAATTTCGTAAGATAAATTATAATTTTAATCTTCATATACTAGACTATAATATATATGTCATAATCAATCTTACTTTGATGTCAATATGCCATATATTGTTAACTTAAAATTGTTTCTTCTATGGCTTAACCCATCAAGTGCTTTTAAAATTCTGTTAAACTCCAAGTTGACATGTAATTGTCAAGTTCTTAACTTCTATATCATCCTGCGAATTGATTCCCTTTGGCCTGGCTTTAGAAAAAAGGCTTTTAATTTCCTTATGAATATCATATATCTCAAGGTCTAACTCGTATATTATTTTTTGTCATAATTTTGTTTCCCAGGTCAGGTGATAAGATGCTGCTCAAGTGTTTATGTTCAACCCTTACTACACTTAATTTTATAATCTGGACATTACAATTGATCATTTTTAGGGGGGAAATTTTAAAATTTGTACTTTCTGAAAAGCGAGCAGTGTAGATCATAATCTGAGGGCATGATTATGCATGTGGTTAATTGTCTGCACTGGGTGCATACGCAAATTACGTCGCCCCATGAAGGTTAAGGGATAAATTATAAAAAAGCAAAATATGCTTTAAAAACTTCATATCTACCTTTATTCTATACCTTTTTTAAGAGCGAAAAAAATCTTTGTTATTTCTGAAGGGAATTAAACAGCAATGTCTGACTGCATCATAAATTATGGGACATTTCTCTTGGGTATTCCTTTAAAGCTGCAGGTCTAACTTGCCATTGTTTTTTTCCATAGGTTTGTTATTTCTGGTGTGGGTTATGTTATAAAACATTATTGCAAGAATATGACTGATTTGTTTCCTTAACTTTCTACAAAATATCTAAAATAACAACAGTTCAAAGTTGCAATTCTCATTTGCTTACCATGCTAAATATCCTAAATGGACTGGTCCATCTTAAATCTGGACAATACCATTCATAAATTTTTAGGGGGAAATTTCTAAAATTGGAACATGCAGGCTTGAAAGTATTTCAATTTAATTGTTCTTATCATAATTATTGTCACACTCAGGAACAAAATGTAAAAAAATCTCTGAAAGTTAGAAAGAAAAAAATAATAACACTTTGCTTAGGTAAGTAATAAGTAATTTTTGCAATTTATTAGAGGTAAGTTTTTTGGTAGGGCTACTTTCATTAAAACATGGTCTTAATTTAGTCCTGAAGAAATATTTGAAATATTACATGCAGGACTCTACTTGCAGTAAATCCTGCATATGGCATGATTACATTGTAAACATCAAAGTAACTAATGCACAATGCATTCTTGTATAATCCAGTTCTCTATACATACATATTATCATTGTCTCTTACATTCGTCTAATCAGGCGGCCATTAAATTAGACTCTTTTAAGGGATTACCAGAGCTTATCCGCAATTATGACACATTTGCAAGTGTTTGTTTTTCCTGGGTATCTTTTTCTCTCTCTTTCAGGATTGCGCAATAATTGATTTATTGCACAATAATTTATCTTGAAGATTTTTTTCTTTGGAATCGTAGAGTTGTACTTATGCGTCCAAGTAGACTTGTTATTACTTACTCTTGAGTCATTGAAAATCAGTTTATTTCAGAGTTCATCTTAAGGCAATATCCGATGTTTGGATAAGTTCTTATTTCACTGTTTTCAGTAATCTCTTCCTTAAACTCAGGTGTTAATAAGCGATTTTGTGACAAGTCGATACAATAGCCGAAAAAACCTGTATCAATTCAAACGAGTGAAAATATTATCGTAGGATTGTTTGTATCTGCAATTAGCCGTTTGTGAATTGGATTCGAGTACTACGCACAGCTGGGTCAGTTACTTCGACAAATTTACTCAATGACTTAACACCGAATAAAGCAAATAAAGATTTGCATTAAGGTTTTGATACATGTTCAAGGATTTGTCACTTCAGCACCAAGTTTAATACACAAGTGAACTTGTAAACAATTGCGGACTATTTTTTTTCTGATATGCAAGGTAAAAAACACTAATATTTTGATGTTTTTTAAAAATTTTATTGAATGTGGAAAACTGTTTTTTGTAAGCTTTGATAGCATGGATGGATTGTATTTTTGGTGGTAATTACTCAACATTTACAATACATAGCAAATGGTTTACAAAGATTTTATATTTTACTTTAGATGTATGGTGTTTAATAACATAGTTGGTATGTCTTAAAATTTAAAGGTTGGATAAATTTTAAAATTAATTTAAAAAAAAAAACAAAAAAAACCCCAACAAATTACTATGTGTATGAAATCATGAATATATAATGTTATATCACTGCATAATTGGTGCATTATGGGGGGAAAATTGAGCATGCTAAGTGTAATATTATGAAGAAGTCATAAGTGATATTTTTGCACTTATTCAAAAAACAATTTGTTATTTCATATTAAAATATTTATTCAGTAATGTGGTAAGTATTTATTGCAAAATAATGTGGGAATTTTAACTCATACAATTTTGTATGATATGAAAACTAGATGCGAGTTTTCAGTGCATACAGGAAATTGCAAAAGATGAATACATTGTATTAAAGATCCTTGAGATAATGTTTAAATGGGTTATAATGCAAAGTTTAGGGCTGTTTATAGATATGTTTACAACAAAAAACAGAAATTTTGATACAGATTTCAAATATTTCACACTTCCTTTATGAATGTATGATCTGTGATATTTTCAAGATTGTTAATATAATATATACAAAATCATAATAACATATTTATCTAAATAAGCCTCTTTTTCTTTTAATATGCTTTTTTTATTTTAATTAATTGAAAAGAGTATTATATAAAATAAGGGTGGGATTTGTGGGGATGTGGTAGCTATGTGGTTGAAGTGTCAGCCACCCAGCATAAAGGATGCGGAATTTAAATCTCAGTAGGATATTTCTAACCACAAATTCTAATCATGACATTTTAAATTTCAATTGCAACAGATTTGTCTATTGTGATTTAATAAAGGGCTTAAAAATTTTCAGTCACTTACCAGGTTTATACAAGAATAGTGTACTGGTAATTTGTACAAAAAATATCACTTAAATGTATTAGTCATTAGCACATTGAACAGTAATTTTATTTTAACTCTTTTATCTTGCTGTTGGCAACAAATTTGACTAGTGCAGACCAAATTCACCCGGCACATCTTTGCTGTCTGATCACTGTTTGCTGTTCAGTCTGTATAAAACTTAAAATGGACAAATGGTTTTGTCTAAATTGAATTTTTGAAAAACCATATGAAAAATTCAGCATAATAAGTGTAATAGGTGAGAATTAGCCTAGAGGTTAAGGCATGTGTCTTTCTTTCTTGTGATCATCCAGGTTTTATAAACATGTTTGGATCAGTCTATCTTTTCCTCATGACGCCAATATGCTGATTAGTTCCACAAAGAGAACTCAAGAAAGGTTAAAATAAGCTTCAAGCAAGCTAAAATAAATATGTTTTAACTAAAAGTTTTTATGATGATTTTGCTTTTCAGTATATAATACAGTTTAACATGTTTTACTGACCACCTCTAATAAGAGACCAGAATTTTCAAGTGTCAATTTAGAATTTTCAAATATTTATTGTCATTTTATGAAATGAGCCACGCCATGACAAAACCAACATAATGCGTTTGCGACTAGCATGGATCCAGACCAGCCTGAGCATCCGCACAGTCTGATCAGGATCCATGTTATTCGCTATCAGTTTCTCTACTTGTAATAGGGTTTGTAAGCGGACACCATGGATCCTGATCAAACTGCGCGGATGCTCAGCTGGTCTGGATCCATGTTGGTCGCAAAGGCACTATGTTGGTTTTGTCATGGCACGGCTCAAATGTCTATATATTCAGTCTCTATTGATGCAAAAATATGAGTGGTCTGACACAACAACAACCACTTTCAAATAACTGAAAACTGGTATTTCTTTGTTTTGACAGGTTTGACTGTATCTGTTAAAGAATGCATATTTCTCAAATTCTGATATATATATATTTTCAGGTGATGTGATAAACAGGAACCGGACATGAAATCAGTGTAACTCGACATTTCGGTCCTCTAAGTCAGATGTGTACAAAAGTTCTACCTCGTTTTAATTGAAAATGGCAGTCTCTTTGATGATTTTCATTGTAACCTTGCTCCTGATTGGTCAAGTGTTTACCCAAGATGCAATAGTATTTTACAGTGTCAGGGAGGAACTTCCTGTTGATACTTATATTGGCAGTATTGGTCTGGACAGCAAACTATTCTCAAACATTACCACGGATCGATACAATGACCTCCAATATAGAATTTCCACTGAAATAAGCAACACTGCAACATATTTTAAAATTGATACAAATGGTCTTTTGTTTATACGTAATAAAATTGACAGAGAAAATATCGAATTTTGCGATGATGACTGTTTTCTAGAATTCAATGTTATTGTCTATGAATTAGTGGAACCAACCTATCTTATAAAAGTTCAAATTGAAGTTCAAGATAGAAATGACAATGCTCCAGAATTTCTGCCAATAGCAAGTCCAGTTCAGGTTCTGGAATCCCTTAGTGTTGGTTCAGTTATCATAACCGGAGCTGCAATTGATCTTGATCAAGGGAAAGATAACTCTGTTCAAACTTATCGTTTAAAGCCGGACTATGGCATATTTAATCTCACTGTAATGGACAATATGGATTTTCAGATCCGTCTGACTAAATCCTTAGACAGAGAAACAGAGCCATTTTATCAAATTGTCGTATTTGCAATGGATGGCGGTGACCAACCACTGACAGGAACAGTAACCATAGATATTGAAGTAACTGATGACAATGATAACGCGCCTATATTTTCAGAACAACTTTACAACATATCCGTGTATGAAAACGTGGCTGTAGATTCAGTAATACTTAAACTATCTGCCAATGACATGGACGAATATGATAATGGAAAAGTTTCATACAAATTCAGCAATCGTATCTCAAATAAAATATCTGAGCTACTTCGCGTTAATTCAACAAGTGGTGAAATATACACGATTGGTATATTAGATTTTGAAACCGATAAAGAGCTTAACCTTCAAGTGGTGGCATACGATCACGGACTCATTTCAAAATCATCAACAGCAAGCGTAATTATCAAGATTATGGACATCAACGATAATGCACCGATAATCAATTTAAACGGGATACAGGAAGTGCTATCTGAGTCTTCAAGTATCGGACAGTTTGTTGCTCATGTTGAAATTAAGGACCTTGATTCTGGTATGAATGGAAAAGTTTTTTGTAATGTTTTCGACAATTTTTTCAAGCTTGAAACAATGGGTAGTGAAAATTATTACAAAATTGTGTTGAACCGGACATTGGATCATGATAGTAAGGCATATCACAATGTCACGATTTTATGTCAGGATCTCGGTGACTTACCGAAACAAACATTTGCGAGTTTCTTTGTTCAAGTTAGAGATATTAATGATAATGCCCCAGTATTTACAGCATCAGTTTATGCAATATCGGTTGTTGAAAATAACGACAAAGGTGCTTCTATTATCAGTATTTCGGCAATAGATAAAGATAGCAGTCTAAATGGACAGGTTTATTACTCGCTACATGTAGAATCACAAGGACTTTTTGTTGTTGATTCGACTACAGGGCTCATTACTGCAAACGTTAGTCTAGATCGTGAAACTCACGGGGAAGAAAGTATATTTCGAGTTTTTGCCACGGATAGAGGGGAACCAGCACATACTGCTACCGGGACTGTGGTCGTGAATATTCTTGATTTGAACGATAATGATCCAAAATTCACTAGTGACCCTTTTTATCTGGATATTCTAGAAAATCAACGAGTTGGATCAGTTGTTGGAAATGTCTCCGCCTCTGATCCAGATGCTGCCTTAAATGGAACATTCTATTTTAAATTTCCGGAAGAACCGAATATCCAGGAATACTTTGAATTTCATGACTCTGGGGTTATTAAAACAAAAAAGATGCTTGATCGTGAGTCAATAATGATTCATGAATTTTATGTACATGCAGTTGATATGGGTGGGCGAACTAGTTCTGCTCTTGTTTTTGTAAACGTTAAAGATGTTAACGACAATGTTCCGGAAATAATTTACCCCAATGAATATGATAACACTATCAGCATCCCATTCACACTTAAAGAAAATTCTGAGGTAATTGAAATTGATGCAAGAGATTATGACAGTGGTGTGAATTCTAAACTTTATTATTTCATTGACAAGGATAATGCAAGCTATGCATTTAATATTGACAGTAAATCGGGAAAAATGTTTTTAAACAAAAGTTTACATCAAAAGGATGTTGGACATACGTTAAGATTTAAAATACGTGTAAAAGATGGGGGTGCACCGCCTTTAGAATCTTCGATAGATTTATATATTCAGGTCATAGACGGACCTCTTACTGCCTCCGTAAATTTTAACTTGTGGATTGTCATCGGAATTATAATTTTCACAGCGGTTGTTTCTGTGATTATAATTATCGTTATCGTTAAAATTTGCTGGTGTAACAGACTGAAGTCCTCGACAGGAAGTACGTCTGACATTATCAAGGAATCAAATGAAGTTGATCCCCGCCTTATAGACTCTTCATCATCTGCGTCAACTTCATCGAAAGATTCAAATGGAAATGAAAAGATAAAGGACGAAAGTCTTCATATTCAAGATGGCTACCAGAAAGGTTACTACAATAATCTGGACGAGACTGGTTACTTTACAAACTCGAGTTTGAACTCAATCGACAATCAGATGTATATTGAACAAGTTAAACAGGTATTAGCAAAATATATATATATATTTAAATTGTTTATATTAAAAGTCATGCAAAATTTTATTGTACTCATGTTTAATGAGTGCCGGATCTGCTATTTTAAGGCATTGGGAGTAAGAACCTTGGCATGAGACTGGGGTGTGCCCTTCTTGGATGGACTCCCATCATGTAGCAGAATACAATTAATTTTATGGTTAATTAGATATAAGATACTTCTCAGATTTGTAAGTCAGGGGTGGCTGGTTCAATCCTAATGGGTAAGATGACAATTATCCTTGGACATTGTGTCTTATTGTCATTTGTGGGATAAGTAGGTGGCGCTGTATTGAGAAATAATTGATAATTACTTGTTAGTTAGGCAGGCTACCTGGTAAGGTGGAATGATTGTCGAGATATGACCAAAAATGTGTTAACATAAAGAAACAACAAATTAACAAAATTCTGATTCATGATGAAAATAAGGGGAGATAACAAGTTGTTCCTGCATTATTTAGAGAGTTACAGTTTTAACAAAATCTTAAGTAAATCTGTTCATAACATCATGTCCAAATGAAAGTTGAAATCTTTCAGACTGGTTTTACAAGGTCATTTTTTTCAGTTGAACATTTTTTGAAAGCTCTAGCATCTTGATTCAGTTTGATCTGAGCCGCTGTATTGTTGGCTTGGTTTTTATTTCTTTAACCCTTACCATGCTAATTATCTTAAATAGACTAGGCCATCTTTCAATCTGGACAAAAGCATTTATCATATTTCGGGAAAGTTTGAAAATAAGTATAATTGACCAGATGGCTTCCTGATCTTGATCTGCACTGGTTGCATGGGTAGAATCTATTCCCTGATGCAGGCTTACAATATCATTGGCAAATCACATATTGAGTTTTTTTTTTTTTAAAGATTAATTTGTGAAATCAATGATTAATTTGTTAAATAAAATGAAAAAAAAAGAAGAAAAAATCCCGCACAGACACACAATTGTTATAGCTTCCAAATAAGTTTCAGTTTTAAGCTAAGTGGATTAATGATTCTCCTGGATTATTCATGCATTTCAAATATGAGCATGAACAAAAGTAATAAAATAACAAAAGCAGACAAATTGAAATTAGAAAATTGCATGAAAAGTTGCATTTCAGTTTTCTGGCTCTGACAAGGCTTGTTAAATATAATCAAAATTACAAAATCTGATCAAAGAGAGTTACGGTAGAATTTTTTTTTCAATTTGCCATTTTCTTTCTCTCATGTAATTATTTAATATAGTAAGCAACAGCCTTTAATCCTTTTAAGTCAAAACTTGGCATAAAGCATCAAAAAGATATTTTTAAGGTGTACCTATAATTTTAAATCAATTAAAACCAAATTATTACAATTTAATTACAAAGTAAACATTTTAAAAATCAACGCAGAAGTGGCAAAAGTTTGTTTCATAACAAGTCCTTGAACGATTACGATACATGTACACCGATATCGTACAGATTGTTGTTAACACGATCGCTTCAGTCGAGATTAATACATTTTCGTGCCATACGACACTTTCATGACACTTGGCAATAATCGTTTCAAGTACATAAAAGAAGTGAAATTAGTTTTAATTACTTCTAATTAAGAAAATGAGGACAATCCGTTCATTGTCATAACAAGGGCTTATTTGCGCCCAATTTAAATCGAGAAAAAACAATTTTCAAAAGGCTGGTTTAGGATAACGACTAAAAGGAAAAAGTAGGAAACAAACATAACACAAGTATAAAAGCGCCGCAAAGGTGTCAAAATAAGATATTGTAAATTAGTTAATTGGACAGTGAACAATATGGTTGTGACAATGCTATTATTTCGTTATAAATTATGGTAAAGAAAAAAAAAATCAAATTTCAAAGTGGGGACTAGTTCTTTTTCCTTTTTTTCATTTTAATTTTAGCTTTTGTTCTGTTCTTGATAATTACAGTTATTTTGACATTAGTAATGATAATTTGTGGGTCTTCAGATAATGACTATAGTCTTCAACATGGGTTCAAGGTACGGGGCTTTGTCATTTTTACAGACTTGTTGAAACGCTGGCCCCTTTTTGACAAATGACTAATCCCTTAAAACATATGTTCAAAAGAAGAATTTCTTTCTAATGCATGATTAATAATTTTGAGAGTGACTAATTCATGTTAGTTGAATTCCTGTTTTAAAATTTGTTGAAAAAAAAAACGATGCAAAGAAATTTAAATATATACACGTGTATTTGTTTAAAAACAAATTTGTAAGTGTCACAGTAGTTGTAGAATTAAAGTGAAACATACTTAAGGAACTTTGCAAAAAAATAATTCAAATTATTAAATTTTACGTAATGCATTAAGTTTATGATTCATATGTTATCTAAAGAAATATCTTCCCAGGCATTAAATATACAAAAGTTCAAAATTATGCATGCATGCAATTTTTCCTTACCGTTTTAAACTGATCATGCTTTCAATTTGGAATGATCCATTATTAGGTTTTAAGGGAGTTCCATGTGTACATGTCCCTTATCGCTCTAGGGTCGAATCCTACTAATGTGACTTTTGATTGTTTTAATAGGGGAAGCTTTCCAGTTATCTGACAGAAGGTTGGTGGTTCTTTTTGTATTGAGGTCTTTGTGGCTGAGTGCTCAAGGCTGCCGACTTCAAATCACTTTCCTGACATCTCTCAGGAACTTTTGATTTTATCATGTCAGCAAGCTATCCAGCTAGCTAAAATGAGCCGCGCCATGACAAAACCAACATAATGGGTTTGCGACCGGCATGGATCCAGACCAGCCTGCGCATCCGCGCGGATGCGCAGGCTGGTCTGGATCCAATTGCTGGTCGCAAACCCATTATGTTGGTTTTGTCATCGCGCCATGACAAAACCAACATAATGGGTTTGCGACCGGCATGGATCCAGACCAGCCTGCGCATCCGCGCGGATGCGCAGGCTGGTCTGGATCCAATTGCTGGTCGCAAACCCATTATGTTGGTTTTGTCATGGTGCGGCTCAAATGATGTTGGTGTTTCTGCTCAAGATTGAAAAATTTACAACTTCAATACCTGCAGTATAGCAGGATAGTCACCATTTGACCTTGACAGTCTTGATGTGACTTAAGATAGCCAGCATTACACTGATATTCGGAACTGGTTTTTTATTTTAATTTTACATTATTGTGATTTCAGTTTGGTTACGAGCTTCAGAAGAAAATAGATGAGACAAATAGTGATAACTCTGGTGAGATAGGAACCAGGGACAGTGGTCAAGGTGGTAGTGATGTTGATATTAATAGTCTGACAGAGTTACCTGTCCTTGATATTCCAGGTAAGCAAGAGTGTTCTCCCTTTTATGGTCTGTGTTTTTCTCATGGTTTTTTTAAGGGTGTGAGAGAAATTGATTAATAAAGGAAATAACGCCATGTGAACGCAAAATGAAATGCAGTGACATTGAAGTTATAAATCTAATGTCTTTTTGTAATTTTATAAAAAATACATATTTAAGTGTTTTTAGTTTATGCAGAAAAAATTAATGTCCAAAGCTAAATTCCAATTTTTAGAGGTCAGAGGTAAGTGAATCAAGGTCATGAAATTAATCCATGGGTCATATGGGTTCTAGCAAAGGAAAGAATTCAGACATTGTTAAAATTGTTAAAAATACTAATTTTGTAGTTTTGAAAAAAATAATTTACATGGTTGTTTTTTTTTAACTTGAAACACAGGCATTTGGTACATTTGTCTTGCCAATAGTGGTCAGATTATCATAAAATAACCTCCCCTTGATCACCAAGTCCACCAACTTTTTACCTTATATAAATTACATGTATATACGATGTATAGTTAACAGTTGCAGGATAGTAATTTTGTTCTTGATTATCAAGGGGATATAATTCCGACCATTATTGGCAAGATAAATGTGCTGAAGCCTGTGAGTTTGAACAGTTTTCTGACTTTCTGATTCATGAAACTGACAATAGTCTGATAAATCTTGTCTTACAGGTTTAGAAATTGTTAAAATCTTAAATATATATTTCATCAAATTATATCATTTTAATTTCAGAAAGTCCAAATGACAATTATTTGCCTCCGCCATGTACAGATATCAACAGTGAATACATTGATGGAAGTGGACATAGAAATGACTTTTACAATGACAAGTTACCTCCCTTTACTCATCAGACATATATTGAAAACTCTATAAATAGTAACAATGATACTGATCAGTCATTTTTCCCTAGAACTGCAGTCAGTTTTTGTAATTATCCGACAAAAACTGCAGAGAGGAGAGAAATCTCAAAGTTGCGAAAAAGTCAAAAGCGGGTCATGTTTAGTGATGACCTTGAAAACTCACAGTCAAGTGAAAGGTCAAATATTTTATCAACATATTCAAACTCTGATGTAGGTCAAAGTAGTGAATCAATTTTAAAACCGCGTAAATTTCATCGAATGCTCAGTGAGGACATTACAAGTTCAACGGGTCAAATTAATCGTGATAACGATTGGTTAAGACGTTCTGCAGATAGTTTCGCAAGACGGCCAAATAACGACAAAATATACAATCAGTTACCTAGCAACCAAATCAAATTTGGAACAGGAAATGACTTTAGAAATCGGCCAATGGGTAGCAATATCAAAACATATTTAGAGAAAGTAATGGAAAAATCAAAATCGACTAGTTCAAGTGATAGTAATGTGCCAAAATCGTCGGAAAGTGACACCGTATTTTCAGTCGACACATTAATGTCGGATTCTACGTATAGAGATAGTGACAGTATTACGACATCGGGAACGTATGATTTGAATTCAGTTAATCTTGCCAGTCCGTCATTTTCAGATGATGCTTTTTCAAGAGACATTGAAATATAAATACATGTATGTTAATATGATATATATTCAATTGTTTTAACATTAAAGTGTCATCTGACTTAATTATATCATCTCTAACTAGATTCTTTTGTTCTGTGTACATGATATATGATTCCTTTGAAGTAAAATATAGATTTCTGTAGATATATTATACGTGATATACATGTATGTTAAAAATTCATAAAAATATAAGACGGCCAAACACTTACTTTTAATTTTTACTAAATTTAGAATATAAAATCATCGAACAATTTGTCATGTTCAGTACTCATTTTCAGTGCACTGTTGTAATAATATTCTTTATTTAGGTAAAATCTTTTTCATGCATTTTACTCTATTCTTTAATTTACATGTACATATATTTGAAAAATGAAGAAGTTAAAAGAATATCACAAAATTTCATTGAAATGTGTGAAGTATATTGAACTAAAGAAAGCAAAACCTATTGAACTGAAGAACAATAAATATGTCCAGATTTCAAATAATTATGTTTACATGTAGTAAATACATGTTGTTATGATCTTAAATAATAATTGTTAGTGAAAATATTTGTATATTGCTGTAAATACATTTTAATATAGTATGTATTTATTCCGGAAAGAGTTAGATCATTTCTTTATTTGCAGGTAATGTTTTTTTTTTTTTATATTTCATATACATTCACCTTTATGTGAAACATATTGCAGGTTTTTTTGTATAAATTCAGTTTTGAATTTTTATTTTATATTTTATTTTATTTATTTTATGTGGTGGTCAAAAAGCTTGTGCTCAATATTTTGTAAGAATTATATTTGTAGAATCATTCTTAGATTCTTGGTATATTAATAAAATGCTCATATTATGAATAAACTAAAACGAATGTCAATATTTTGTGGATTTTATGATTATCTCCCTTCATGCACAACTTAGTCTAGTATGTGTTACTTCCCTTTTGCTGTTTTAAGGGGAGTAACTCTTATGACCTTTTTAATATCCTTTACAAGAGTAGTTTCCCTTTAATCTGAAAATGAATAAAACAGATAACCATGATTCTATGTAGCTTTTGATTAAACAATTGTAAATGAATTAAATAAATACTGCATTGGAAATCAAGCATAAATATTTTCATAGATAAATCCAAAATTCATAACGCAATGTTTTAAAATGAAATAAGAAAGTGCAGCAGATGTAAGGTTAGTGTAATGGACTTGTCTTTCGCTGAATTCAGAACTGTTCTATTTTAACATTTTAGGTAACTGAATACCAAAATAATATAAAATGATCAGTCAGCAAACTACAGTCTAGTAAGGCTTCGCATACTGGCCTGA